ATCAGTTTTTGACCTCAACCATCAATCCTCCCATCAGTCATGACTGGCCTAGATCTCGTTGTATGTATTTACAGAGCCTGGACCTCTTCTACGTTATTCTTTGGCAGCCAACTTTTAGCTTCATGGAAACTAGGGCCTTTGTATCCTAGGCCAATAGGTTGGAGATAGGAGTTGAATGCATTAAAATGCATCACAGCATCATATATCCTTTGGGCAAAAAAAACATGTGTACTCTTTTTACTGCTTTGTTAAAACAACACACTTTTTATTGTTAGCTGGGCACCTACTAGTGTCTTGGGTAGGAAATAATCTCCCCACGCCACTATGCTTCCTAGGCCTACTAGTAACACTTGGAGTAGGTTCTTTTTCCATTCTCCTCCTAGGTAGGTCCACATTGGGTGTCGACGTGGGATTCTATGCTTCGTCCAAATCAAATGTCATCATTGGGGCAGGTATGGATCTCTAATCCATTGGCAATCAATTGCCGTCTTTGCTTCATTTCCATGATTCTCAATGCCCTTTTGCATTTTGTAGATGAAACGGGCACACATTTTAGGACATTTGCTTATGTTGCCAGATTTTTGAGCTAAATGCTCTTTGATGTGGTGTATGTGCCCTTCCTTTAGTGCTTTCTTGCAATATATATAATCATACTTTGGACTTTTCCTTATTAAAAACTATATTTACATGTGTCCCCATGCTATCTGATTTGGCTTTGTTCGACTCACATGAGGATATTTTTTGACCACCTAATTCACCACCCAACCTCCTAACTAAAACCACCACCAATTGTACCTATCCAAGCCACTAATCACCAAATTCTCAAACCACCATTACCGTCAATTAACAATTCATCATCATCATCATCATCTGAGCCTTATCCCATCTATTGGGGTCGGCTGCACAAATCGTGTTATGCCATTCCACTTTTTCAAGGGCCATACCTTCGGTTAGACCATTAGTTACCATTTCTCTTATCACTACTTCCATTCATGTCCTTTTGGGCCTTCCCCTTGTTCTTTTAGAGCCTCCCATTTGAACTGAATCACCCCCCAATCGTTGCTATTCTAGGTCGATGCTGCACATGGCCAGACCAACCAAGTCTACTTTTCCTTATATTGTCGCCTATTGGAGCTATCCTTGAGTTCCCTCAAATGTGTTCATTCTGAAATCTGTCCTTTCTTGTCTTGCCGCTCATCCATCTTAGCATCCTCATCTCAAATAAACTCATTTTGGATATGTTGTTTCTTGACTGCCTATAAACCATGGCTGGTCTTACAACCATCCTATAGAAATTCTCTTTAGTTACATTGGTACGTGGCGATCACATAATACTCTAGAAGCATATCCGTTTCGTCTACTGAGATCCAATTCTTTGTTCATATCTTCCTCAAACTCTCTATTCTTGTGAATTATCGACTCAATACATCGAAAATAATCTCTTTTAGACACTTCGTGGCCATCAATTTTAACTACTTCATTTCTACTCCTATTATTACTAAACTTGCATTCCATAATTTTGTCTTAGTCCAGCTAATTTTATAATCTTTAGATTCTACATCATCCCTCAAAAGTGCTTTGTATTGACACCATCTCGAGTCTCATCAATCAAAGCTATGTCATCTGAAAATACCACAGTATCTTATCCTGTATATACCTAGTTAACGCATCCATAACCAAAGCAAAGAGATGGGCTCAATGCTGACCTCTACTGTGGCCTATTATCATTGAAATTTTACTTCTCCACTAGTTATCCTCACACTAGTTAGCGCTTCCTCGTATATATCCCTCACCATGTTAGTATATCCTCTAGAGATTCCTTGAAAGGCTTTCCTTGGATCAATAAAGACCATGTGGAGGTCTTTTCTCTTCTTCCTAAACTTCTCAATCAATTGCCTAAATATGATAATAATTTTAATGGTTTACCTCCCTAGCATAAGTCCGAACTGGTTTTCTGATACACTCATTTCATGTCGTAGTCGTTGCTCAATTATTCTCTCCTACATCTTCATAGTGTGGCTCATAAGTTTGATCCCTCGATAGTTCGTACAACTCTATATGTATCATTTGTTCTTGTAAATAGGTGCCACAATACTTTTTCTCCAGTCTTATGGCATAGTCTTCGTTCTCTTCATGACGAACAACTTGTTCAACCATAATGTGCTAATATCTCCCATGCACTTCCAAACCTCTATTGGTATACCATTTAGTCCTAAAGCCTTTCCTATCTTCATCTTTCTTAAAGCTTCTTTCACTTCATATATCCTAATCCTATGAATGTATCTATGACCTCCAGCCTCATTTATGTCAAAGGTTTCTTCTAGTGCTTTGCTCCTAAAGGGGTCTTCATTTAACAATTTTTGCAAATAAATTTTCTACCTTTCATTGACCTTGTCTTTCTTTACCAAGACCCTCTAATCCTTACTCTTAATGCATTTAGCATGATCTAGTTCTTTGCATTTCCTCTCTTATTTTTGCTAGTTTGAAGACATTTTTTTCACATTATCTTGACCCACTTCATTGTGTAGATCATTTATGCCTTGAGCTTAGCCTTATTTACTAAGTTTCTTAGCATACTTTTTGGCACTTTTATATTCTTTTAAGTTTTGATCATTTCTATTCCATCGACAAACTTTGTAACATGATCGTTTTTCACTGATAGCCTTTTGAACCTCATCACTCCACCATCAAGCTTCCTCATCTGAATGTTTTTTTTCCTCTAAATTCTCCTAAAATGTCTTTTGCCATTTTCGTAATACAATTAGCCATCTCATTCCACTTAACGTTAACTTTGTCCTTTAAATTTTGTTTTCCTTCTTTTATTAATATTCCTAAATAAGTATTTTTTTCCTTTTTTTAATTCCACCACCTAGTTCTTGGATACATATTAATTTCACTTGTCTTCCATTTTTTCATATGAAATTATGAACATCCATAACCATGAGCCTATGTTGTATAGTTGAACTCTTTGGGATGACCTTTCAGTATTTAGATGATGGTCGTTTTGCCTTCATAATGAGAAAAAAGTCTATCCGGCTTTTATATAAGGAAAAAGTTTATATAGAGTCGAGGCTCTAAACAATCAAATTAGAGCCCACCTCAAAAATTTTACTAGAAGAGGTTGTTTTTATGCCCAAATATCCTCAAATTGATCATCTCGACATCAAGATGCATGGATATGAGAAAAAATGGACTTCAAGTTTTTGAAATAGTGCATCTTGTAACACATTTTTGGACCTTCAATTTTCAAGTGTTCATAGAAATACTATTTTTGAAGTCTTTAAATTTTATAATTAAAG